GAGCTGAATGCAACTGAAGAGGTTCAACTCTTTGTATCCTCAGCTGGCAAAAATGAAGCCTCACAATGCTGAAAATATGTGAAACAAGAGGACCTTCATACACTATTAGCAGAAATACTAGTAATGAGCACCTTGGTGAGCAAAATATAGATCAGTTAAATGTATGTACCTCCTAGAATACAAAAATTATGGTCCCGGGTCCACTTTAGAAAAGTAACAGTAACTACATACATGTATTTTTTTTTTTTTAATTTTATTTATTTGTGTGTGTGTGTGTGTGTGGCCAGCTCAGCCCACCAGGGGGCCGGGCTGGCTGGCATGTGGTGCTGGGGGATTGAACCGCGGTCCGTATGCTTTGTTGCAGCTTGTTCTAAGTAGGTGCCTTAGACCACTGAGCCATCTCACCAGCCCTACATACATGTATTTTAATAGCATGTACCAGGTCCCAAGACAAAAACACATTACCACCAAAACAAAACAACTCCCAGCAAACAAACAAGCCCAAAAGTTTGAAGTGTATAGAACATTCATTCTAGCTGATATGTACATGGGTATTCATTACATATGAATGTCTGAAAATACTTCAGGAATCACCCTGAAAGGGCTGGTGAGGTAGTTCAGGGGACTAAGAGCCTGCTTAGGCAAGTGCAGGGACTGGGGTTCAATCCCTGGTACCACTTGCAGTGCTGGCCCTGCCCCTGAGGCATGCTGACCCAGTGATGGAGTCCGGGCATGGTGGCACATGCCTGTAATCCCAGCACTGGGGAGGCTGAAAACAGGAGGATCACTATTAGTCTGAACTGTGTAGTGAGACTCTGTATAAATAAAAAAATAAAAAATCACCTTGCAGTAGTCTTATAATTTTATTGAGAAAAAAACTGCAATGAGACAGTTTCAAAACAGGTTGGTAGGAGAGCTACAACAATTAATACATTGCGGGCTGGAGAAATGGCTCAGGGGAATAAGCGTTTCCCTGGCAAGCGCAAGGACCTGAGTTCAATCCCTGGTCCTGCCCTCCCCACCAAAAACCCAAAAAACCCCACCAAAACAATTACGTTGCATATTGCCTTTGTAGTAGTCATTCCTAGCACAAGATGCAGACATGAAGACATGATATCCTGTCCAAACACTATTAGTACAAATCTTTCTTATTGAATTAAGAAAAAGCGGCTATATATCTATCCTATTTTGTATATACAGATACAAAACTGTCCTTCATTTATATCTCCTTTTTTTGTTTAGTTTTGTCAGAGATGAGTATTCCACTGCCATCCAAATAATGTAGGTGCATGAATTCATCAAAATATTCCAATATAGGGGCTGGAGAGATGGCTCAGTGGAATAAGTGCTTCCCTGGCAAAATATTCCAATATAGTTCAGTAGTCCACAATAGTAGTGGGTTATCCACAGGACTGGCAATGTCTGAATCTATTGACTTCAGCCTTCCACAGCTCTGCATATTAATATGGCTTTACTTTTCATACCTCGTTTCTATACTTTTCTGCTGGATGGTTAAGACCAAGATAAAGCAAGACCTATATATCAAGAAATGTAACTTTTGTATCTGACAAGGTCAGTCAAGTCCCCTCAGGACTTATCTTGAAACCCGGTACCGTACTTTGTAGATCCTTTGTCAGTGTCAGCCATGTGGATGAGTCACGGCCATTGCCTGACCAATTTGCACTCTGTGAAAGCCTGAGAGAATGTTTTCTCTCCATGTGACTCTTTAGGCACATACTACATCATTGATCACATTCCTCTGTTGCCCCATAATCTCCTTTATCAGATAATTGGGACATAACTAAGTTAAATGATGTTATAGTATAGGTTCTCCTATGTCCTGAGTCCTCACTGACCTTGAAAGGAAGGGTCCTTGCAGTCCTTCTTTTTCTCTAATTTTTGGTCTGTAAACTTTGGTTGTTAACCCTCCAGAAGAGAAGCTTATTATTACCCTACAACATATGCAGTTGTGTTTAACGTCACTATCTGTCTGAATATCAAACATCTTAGGCATAAGATGGAGCATATATTTTCCACCAAGTATTGATGTGTTAAACTTTAAATCTCTACAGAGTATGGAAAAAGAATTAAAGAAATAATTTTTTTTTTTTTTGGTGGAACCAGGGATTGAACTCAGGCCCTTGTGCTTGCCAGGCAAATGCTTATTCTACTGAGCCATCTCCCTGGCCCCCCCAAAAATTTTAAAAAATAAATAAAGCTACATATTTTTACACAGAAATTTAGAAATCTAACCATATACATCATTGTAGCAGGTCAGTTTTGTGACATTTTTTTCTTTGTCTCTTTTTTTCATTTATTACCCTTTAAAAAAATAAACATTTACTTGAGACACAGTCTGGCCATAATTGGTATGTCACGACAAGCAGTACGTATTCAGAAGACCAGAATGACAGACATTCCAAGCATGACCTTACTATTATACATTGCTATCTTCAGTGCAGTCGCTCAGCTCACAGGTATCAGCATACCTGCAGTAGTTTTAGTGTTCTATGTGTATCACCAGATTTTAGTTTTACACTTATCTTTTTATAAAAATGTAGTTGGTACAAGGTCTCACTACATGGCTCGCAGCTTGGGCTTATAATGATCCTCCTGTTTCAGCCTCCCCAGTGCCAGGATTACAGGCATGTGCCACGCCCGGTCTCGGTCTGTGACTCAGTGTGCCTGAGGGCTGGCCTGTCCTGGCCTGCAGTATCAGGAGTTGAACTCTGGTCCTTGCACATGTTTAAGGAGGCACTTAGTCCACTGAGCTATCTTGCTGGCTCTAAACTTACCTTTTTTTAAACATGAGCGTACTCATTTATTTTATAATGGGAGTATCAGGAATTAATGCTAAATCACAGAACATCCTTTGGGCAATTCTTGAAATCAGTTTCCTTCCTTTTAGTATTAGTTATACATGAGTCATGCCAAATTCCCAAAGCCCAAAGCCCCAGCTACTCGGGAGGCCAATGTAGGAGGATATCCCTTAAGCACCGTTTAGCCTGGGTAACACAAGGAAACCCTGTCTCTTAAAAAATTAAAAAAGCTAAGTCATAAATGAGTCATCTACTTACTTTTTTCATAAAATTTATCTATGATATACTCAATATAAGCACATATCTGCCTGTAATCCCATTTTGTGGGAGGCTGTAAACAGGCGGATCACAAGGAGTCCGACCTAGTAGTGAGACCCTGAACACCCTGTAACCCTTCCCTAAAATACAAAAAACCCCAAGCCCCCCCCCATGTCCATGTTCTGTATGTATGCATAAATATATGTATGTGTAATCCAGCTACTTAGGAGCCTGAGACCACAAGCTCAAGGCCAGCCCAGGAAACCTGGCAGGACTGTCTCAAATTACATGTGCCAACTACACAAGATGAATACAATCATCTTGTACTCCAAGCATATGCTAACAAAAGTAAAAGTTTACAAAAAGGGGAGGTGCAACTTTATGCTGTAAGCCTTTTAATTACACTACTGAAGCTGCACATGTCACTTAAATGCCTCAAAGCACTGAAAAGAACTCATCCAATCTTTTGCCACATTTTCGATTGTTAACAGAAAATAACTTCATGCAAAATTTTTAATTTCTCATATTCAAAATTACATTACTTGTTCTAAAAAAGAAAAGCAAGAGGCAAGAGTGGAGTTGAATGGTAGAGCACAGACCTAGAATGCTTAAGGGTCTGGGCTTATTTTTTTTGGTGGTACCAGGGACCAAATTTAGGACCTTGTACTTACCAGGCAAGCACTTATTCCACTGAGCTAGCTTCTCGGCCCCTAGGGTCTGGGTTCAAAGCAAGACTGCAGTGGTGACCATTGAAAAAAATACTTTGTTTTATTTATTTATTTATTTTTGTGGAACCAGGGTTTGAACTCATGCCCTTGTGCTTGCCAGGAAGCACTTCTTCCACTGAGCCATCTCCCTGGCCCCCAAAAATACTTTGTTTTAAAAATCTGAGATAAGCTGGGGATATAGCTCAGTGGCTCAAGTGCCTTGTGCCACAAGCAGAAGGTCCCGAGTTTGAGCCCCAGAAACAAACAAACAAACAAAAAAAGGAGTTCGGATAAAAATCTGAGATAATTCACCAAACGGTAGACATTCAAACTTTCTACAGGTTTTTTTTTTTGGAGAACTAGGGACTGAACTCAGGCCCTCACGCTTGCCAGACAAGCACTTATTCTGTTGAGCCATCTCCCCAGCCCCTAAACTTTCTATAGGAATACTCTCCTGATTTTTACCTTTAAAAACAAAATCAAATTAAAAAAAAATTCTTAACAATTAACATGTAATTAAATGTACTACAGACTACAGTAAGGTAATTAAAAATAGTTACCTTTTCTTTCTCAGTTGTATCCTTTGACTTCTTTTTCTTTTTTAAACTATCCTAAACAAACAAATATACGTACATGTATCACTTTACAGAGATTACAGGCTTACACCACAATGCCCAGCTGGAGTACTAAATCAACTGTGCCCTGACATGCACTAGTCTGATCTGCCCACTCTTCTTATCAGGAAGGCAATAATTTCTCCTTTTAATGTCTTAATTCTAGGTACAACCTCCCCAATCCTTGGTTTATGTACACTGTAGATTAGTAATTTCTTCACAGGGTTGTTAAATTGAGTTAGCAGTCAACTGCTTAGACCAATGCTTAACACATAGTAGGCACTCAATGTTAGCTATCATTATTGTAAGACCACTGCTTAGGGTTAAAAGGCAAACAAAACAAATACTTATTACTTTTTAGGTGTTAGGTATTTTGCTAGAAGAAAGTTCACTGGGGCAAGCAGATAAATCTATAAAATCCAAACATTGTTTTAGTTGTCCAAAACCTTCCTATAGTGTTTGTCAAATTATAGTTCATGGACACCCCTGTATCAGAATCAGACAGGCCATCAGCTAATGATAGGTAATACTTGTGAGCCTAATGAGACTTTAAAAAATCAGCTCTGGAGATGAGGGTCTAGGAATCAACAATTTTTCCAGTGCAGATGATTGAACATAGGCCCTTGGAACATGCTGGTCACACACTCTACCAGAAGCTACACTTCTGGCCCATGAATCTACGTTTTTCTTGAACACTGTGTGCCTTTATAAAAATGATCTCTGAAGTCTGACTGACAATTCTGGGTATGCTGGTACAAAACAAATTTAGGGACTGCAGGGCATGAAGGGCACCAGACTAGATATTTGCAGATATTGATGCAATTTTCAATTTTAACACTAGTTGTATGAATTGGAACAAGATTTTCTTTTCTGAATGAAAACTTCTTTAAGAAAATGGGGAAAATACTGTCACACACGTGATATTTTTGGAAGCACTTGGGGGAGAATTCTTTTTTTCATGTATTTAGTTCAGTGTCTAGAGAGTCTTACTACTTAGATGAGACTCCTAGGGATTCTCCTGTTTTTAGTTTCTCAAGCGCTGGGATTACAGGCATGTGCCACCATGCCCAGTCTCCAATGCCATCTCAGCGCACCCTAGGGGCAAGGCCAGCACAGTAAACCAGGGATCGAACCCCGGTCGCTGCGCTCTGCCTAAGAAGGCGCTTTAGTCCACTGAACTATCTGGCCAGCCCAACAGGGAGAATTCTTAAATGCTACATGTAAGGTATTAAGTACATCAGTTCAATGGCATAGAAAATCAAAGTACAAAATCAAACAGCATATCTTCTGACATGAGAGCAACTTAACCACGTAACAGTTTACCACAAGCGCTATTTTGGGCAGTGTCTGTTGATGTACAATCTGGAGCATCGCGTGAGCAGGTGTCATTTCAACCAGCTAACTAGTGTACAGAATGAATGTAATAAAATTGTCATTTTGATATTTCCTGTTAAATTACTTTAATCATCCTGTATTTAAATAATTGGTAAGTGGTGAAACAAAAGGAAACATAAATGTCTTTGCTACCAACAAAATGTTAATAATTTAAGTAATTTTTTTTTACCTTACTGTCTGACTCAGTTTCTGACAGGGAGCTTTCAGAAGATTTATATGTACGGTTCTTCTTTTTCTTTCTCCTTTTTGCTTGCTTCTTTTCCTACATAAAAGATTTGTAGAAACAATCGCTTTTAGTTTCAGAAATAATTTATACAGTTCATTAATATTCAAACTTTATCAACAAACAAAATTTAATAAAAGAACCAGCTTTTAACTATTGTTTTTTGTGTACATGGTAGTAGCAATTTTGCACTGAGTTATGTCCTCAGCTCTTTTTATTTTGAGATAAAATCCTACTTTAGTTTGTAATTAGCCTGCCTCAGCCTTCCAAAGTGCTAGAATTACAGGTGTGGGCTAGGATACCTAGCTTTAATCACTGTACTTCATGCAACATACCATTTTTTAAAATAAATAAATAAATAAATATTTATTTATTTATTTATTTATTGGCAGAACCAGGAATTGAACTCAGACCCTTGCGCTTGCCAGGGAAGCGCTTATTCCACTGAGCCATCTCCCCGGCCCCTACCATTTTTTTTTTAAAGTGATTTGAATCATATCTAATCCTCAGCACCCAGTCCAAAATCATTTTAAAGTTTTTAAATCTTTATTTTTAGACAAGTTAAAAAACACTCAATATATATATATACACACCAATATTTAAGTATCTCATCATTTAATTTACTCATGCCAGTGCTCTGTTATGGAAAAATAATCAAAACCTGCAAGCAAACATTCCTATGAGATAATTCACAGCAGGTTTTCTCCTGACATTAGGTAGGCTAGTGACACTACTTCATGAAATACTTTAGCAAACCTTACCTCATCCTCAGAATCTGAAGAACTGCTGGAAGAATCAGAGCTCGATGAAGAAGAAGATGAATACTTGACCAAGCACAAAATAATTAAAGCTTGTGAGATGCGGAAATTGTTTTCTTTTACTAAGTCTCTCAAGTACTCAGTAAAATCAATCTAGTATCTGAGAAATAGATGCCATATTTGTCAGATTTTAAAATATTAAATCTAAAAGGTATACCACCTCCCCCCAAAAGGCTCAACCAAGTGACAACACAGGTTGCAAGGGAACTGGCATCGTTCTTTCCTGTCACTGAGAGAACCTCACCACCCATCACATCATCATTTGTACAGGCCAAGACAGCTTTGCGCACACAGGTCAAATCAACTATTCTTACTTCTTCTGTAGGTTCTTAATTGCATTCAAAAAATGGAAAACTTTTGCTCACCCTACCAGATTTCTTCTTTTCTTTCTTCTTTCTCTAAATGGAAACAAATACAAATCTAAATAAGTCAATGTGAATTTTGAAATCCATCTGTTAACAGCAGTATATACAGCATTATTGTGAAAACTGATGTATGACATTACAGTAAAAATAGTATTTACCTGTTTTTTTTTGGATGAGCTCTCATTTCCACTTAATAATTTTTCTCTGTGCTTTTCTAGTTCTTTCTTCCAATTCTATAAAAAGGATATAGACACCATTAGAGGTTATTAGTCCGTGTAATGGTTGTAGTATAGAAAAACAACCACTACAATACTTCCTTGCCTCCCCCTTTAATACTCTTATTCATCTCACCTTTGAAATATAGTCAAGAGGTAATCCGAGCTAGACATGGTAATCTATGCCTACAGTCCTAGTTATTCGGGAAGTTAAGGCAAAGCTTCTTTGAACCTAGCAGTTTCAGGGCAGCACAGACAACAAAGTAAGACTTCTTCTCAAATAACGATGTTCTTGGTACTAATCCTTGATGGTATCATCAAAGGAGCCTGTACTAGCTCTTAGCAGGTACTACGGGATGGGAATTCCCCAGTGTATCACTATACACTGTTTTTGAGACCTGTTTTCCTCTTAATAAAGACTGCAAGAATCTCTTCCTAGGCTGCAAAAGCTGAATCAATAATCTTCACTATGACTGACATAATACACACTTGTATACAAAACAAGCAAACTTCACCATGGAAATCTCACGGTAAAATGGAGAATACAGGGGGAAGAATACAACATTTAGACAATTTAGACTTAAATTATAAGACAATTATTCCTTTTTCTTTTTTTTTGCTAAAAGAAAACACATATTTAAATACAAACCTATGTTCAATATGGCAGACATCCTAAAAAAGAGTCCCCTTAACCTAAAGAGCTATGGCTTTTATAAGAAAAGATTAGTTTATTTCTAAGAGTACTATTTACAAACCTCATTCATTTTTTCTTCAAATTCAGCCAAAGCCTTAGAGCCTTTCTTTTTCTTTTCTAGTTGCTCTTTCACTTCTTCCCTTAAAAAATAGAAGGTACAAGTAATTTTCCAAGCACTTCAAATTTCATGGAAGCTTAAAAGCAAAGTAACAAAAATTTTGTAACCAAATTTTTACTAATAGGTCCCCATTCCAATGTTAATACATTTTAAATTTCTTCATCCATATGTAATAATAAAGTCTACCAGACAACAATCACTCCTTTTCTAAACATCGATTTTAAGAATGAACAAACCCAACATCTGAGCACTTAACATACAATACCTGACCCATTTACAGAGAAAAAGTTAACACAGCACCTCAGCTGATTATTCTTAGGGGATCAGGCAATTTGGATTTCAGAAGGTTCTTACTATCATTAAGAACTGCTTACTTTCTAAACTGTCTATACAAAGAACATAGCTCAGGCTGAGTATGCTATCTTTCTTGAAACCCGAGATTTTGCAATGTGACAGGCAATCTGACCAACACCAGTCAAATCCCTGGATACAGGGTCTCTAATGAGTCTCCCCGGTTGGTAACATCACAAGCCTGGTCCCTGCCTTAGCTGGGAATTGTGTCTTGTAGGGTTCCGTGAGAAGAGGACTCTCTTGGTCTTCACTCCAAGTACCTTTCCCCATTGCTGGCTGTGCCTGTCTTTCACTCTAACAAATCTTTCAGTGTGACCACTGGCTGATACTCTTGTGAGTCCTACGGTGAACTAACCCATGGGCTCTCTTAATGCTACACAAACATAATAAGCCTGTTTGGGCACTTACTCTATTAAGTTCACTACCTTTCCTTACTTTAATCGTAAAATATGCTTTGTTCTAGGGCCATTTATTTTCTGGTGTACTGCAATAGTTAACAATAGCAAACATAAAAAAATCCCTCAAACAACAGCACTCATATACTTAAAGAGGAAGACAAGGCTAACTTCCCATTTAACACAAAAGGAATATAACAGGCCCCCCCCCCCCCCCCGTATTGGGGATTAAACTCAGGACCTTGTGTTTGCCAGGCAGGTGCTTATTCTACTGAGCGATCTTCCCAGCCCTCTATTATAAATACATAAGCATACTTTTCTCTTTTAGCTCTTTTGTGACAGGGTCTTGCTACGTAGTCCAGGCTGACATTTACCTGATGGCAATCTTCCTGCCTCAGCCTATTGAGGTCACCGGTATATACCATCATGCCTGGCATAAGACACCCTTTAATCACTGCTGACCAGCATCCAGGCTAACTTAGAAGGATTGTGAAGCTAACTATTCTGAAGCCTGTCATTTATCAGAGTGTATGGTATACACTAAAAAAAAAAAAATAAGGCCTGTACTAGGATGCTTTATTTACAAATTACCAGAGGTATTTGATGAGTTTCTCCAATTTGCTGCTAAGCCAGCAGATAAATCTAAAATAAAAATAAACATCCTTTCTAACATCTGACTAAATATCTATGAAGTGTCCAATTATTCAAAGACAGCAAAGGCTCTGGTTAAGCTACATCCATTTAAAAAAAAAATTTTTTTTTTTTTTTTGAGACAGGGAGTTGCCAAATCATTGAGTAATCTAGGTAGGACTGAAGGTATAGGGCTGGGGAGATGGCTCAGTAGAATAAGTGCTTGCCTGGCAA